TATTATTTCTAGATAATTAAGTAGGTTAGGATAGTCTAGAAACTAGGGGATATTAAGTCTTATCTTAAGTAGGATTAATTTATAAGTCTTTCTAGTTAGATATCCTGCTATATAGGTTAGTCAGGCTTTAGTAACTAGAAAATAGTCTAGGTTAGTATTTATTTTACTATAAATTTATTATATAAAGTAATAGAAATTAAAATAAGTATTATTAAACTCTTATAGGTTAGGAAGTTTCTTACTAAGATAGGTATTAGGGGGAGGGCTAGTAGAAACAGGTATAAATACTCTTATTATATTAGCTACTATAGCTTTAGTAAGGGAGGCATGTTTAGTAGGGGCGGGGGTAGTAGTAGGAATAAGTATAATAGAGGTAGTAGTAATCTATAGTATAGTAAATATATACTTAAACTTAATTAACTTTTATTAAATTACTTCTAGTTCTTTTTTCTAGTATAGTACTATTCCCTTCTTCTTAGCTAGCTCCAGGCTAGCTTTATTAGCTTGATTTTAGAGGGCATGAATCTCCTTCTTTAGGGAATTAATATATTTATTATAAAATTTAAAGTAAATAATCCAGGCAGCAAGATTATTAATAATATAGCTTATAAACTTCTTAACTAAGTCTATAATCAGGGGTAGTTCAGGTTATTTTAACATGCTAGTAGTAACTATACCTAGGGTAGGAGCTATATAATATCACGGGGAGTAGGCAGGTAATAAATATAGCTAATAGCAAGGTATATATTCAGGCTATTTACATATAGGTATAATAGGTAGGGATTAGGTTAGGACAAGGATATAGCTTAAAGAGCTATAATAGGATCAGGGGCAATATAGCTTAAATACAGGAGTAGAGGTGGACAGTTAGGGCAGAATCTAACCAGATAGGTACACGGCTACGCCGTGACAGGAGGGGCAATATCTGCCTGTTGAAGGACCTTAGATAGATAGTTTAGAAAATATTCATAACTCTCCTATTTCTTATTAGAGATAAATCCAAACCCAGCATAAAAAGTCTTATTATAGGTAGTTAATCTAATAATATCTAATAATAGCATCTTATATTAATTTATATGATATATATAATCTATAAATAAAATTATTAGATAATACTATAGGAGTTGCAGGAAAGTCTTATAAGTATAGAATACTATTATTATAATATTTAATTTATTTATTTTATATATTACTATCCAGTCACTAGTTTCTAGAATAACAGAAAGAAGTACCTAGATAGGGATTTTACTATTAAGAAGCTTATCTTATAACTTTTACTTCTAATTATAAATATTATAATTCTTTATAATATAATTAGGGTCATCCTTATATAATATAGAAAGAATTTTACCTATTAACAAGCTAATATTAAGATAAGATTTAATATTAGCTTCTTTCTTTATTATTTTATAATAGCAAAGCTTTACATATATTAAATAGGGAGCAAGATCATAATTATATAAAGTATTCTTAACCTTAAGATACTATATTTTATTATTAGATCCAAGCTTTAAATATACTTTATATAGGCACTTTATAAGTTAAGTCTTTCCTTTTCAAGAGTATTCTTCTTTATTAATTTAATTCTAGTATTCCCCCCCATGACTATAATATAAATAGACTAAGTATATCTCCTTCTTCCTGTTAATTTTACATTATTTTAATCACTTAGTAGTCAAGACATATCCTTACTATACAGTAAATAAATTGAGAAACTCCATAACTGCTGGTCAGGATAAGAAGATCTAGTCAGTTAGTAGAGGAAGCAGCTAAGGCCTAACCTCACCAGCATCCTCGCCATCATCTGAGCTCTTGTATCTAACAAGATTAGGCGGCATTTTAGTGGTCTACGTGGTCTGCATGCATTTAGTGTAGTTATTAATACTATAACACGTGTAATAATAATAATACCCTATAAAATTACCCTAACACTAAACTATATACAGCAAGAAAAAAAATCATGTGATAAATAGGTATGGCATTATCAGGTCAGGGGGTGTGGCATGATCGGGAAGGGGTGTGGTTGGATCGATACAGGGTGTGGCGTTAACAGTCCCCTTGGTAAATTGAATGTGAATTTTACTCCAATTCTATACTGGTGGTAAAAGCATCATTAAATTTCTTTAACTGGGATTAAGGTAGTTCCTGAACACCAGCAATGTTCTGAAAAAGTCAGATAGATATATACGACCTAGCAATGTGTCTTGTTTCATCGCACATCAATCATTGCCGTTGCTGACTGTAATTGGTCAGGGTCTTCCAAGTTTCGGATTCGGATGCTTTTTTTTTTCTTACTTACAAGGTACTGTCTCCGGTGAAATCCCGCTACCAGATGAGAGGCGAGTAATGTGAAATCCATATTATTAGGTCTTAACCGTCAAAAACATTCTGATCTGTATATGTTATTTATACCCGATTATCTGGTGGTATATTCCGTCAACTCAGAGTCCCGAGTGTATAGGAAGCCATCTCCCCGACCGTTCAGTTCGGGAATTGGTAAATGGCTCCAACTTACTGGGTATGCAGTACTAGCTAGACATCCAACATGCGGGGTGGAAAAGGTATATACCTACCCCTCGTCGGTAGGATGCTGACTTCTATAAATACTGGCGGCTGTGACGATGAGATAATAAGAGCCCACGCAGCTATGAGTAACTTAATTGCGTAGCCCCTCCAACATGAGAATCGTAGTAGTATCATTGGTAGTCCCACCAATGAGTATAAGACGAGATGCGGTTTTTTTTATTTGGAGGGGCATCTTAGTTAATTGACCGTCGTTATTGTCAGCATGTTAATCTGTTCGGGGGGAAGGGGGATCAGAGGGATGGCATGGACCTAACTACAAGTAGGAAACGCATCATCTCAAGGCATAATGAGGGGGAAACCGTAACTTGCTGATTCCCTAGCATGGGGGACGGCAACAGGTCCGTGATAGACTAAAATGGTCTGTATTGTTAAGCAGGAACGTAGTTAGTTAACTGACTAGTTAGTTAGAAACTGTCTAGTTGTAAAGATGGATGGATGGCTTTGAGTTGACTTGCACGCTGATAGTCCCAGCTTAGATCTCAGAGTTGAAGAAATATCTGGGGGGTATTTATTATGGCGGGATTGAACTCCACAGATGTAATTTGCCTGAATTTGAAGATGTAGAAACAATCCCTAAAGATCATCCAAGGAAGGATCTACTGCTCATATAAAATAGGAATTTAAACGACAGGTTGGTTCTGATACAAGGTACAGAGTAGGACTAGTCACTTCCTACCGGTATATATTATATTATAAGAATCATATAAAGATCACATTTAATCATCTACATTTGAGATTTAGGTTTTAGCAATTAAAATTCATCAGTTGGCACCACCCAAATCCATTGATACAAATCAAACTGCAATCCCCATACATAGCCTAAGAAAGAAAGGAAAAAAAAAAAGGCGGTTCATACCCACAGAAGCCCTGAAGCCCACTGTGCGGATGTACGGGAATTAATATTAATTCAGTTTTGGTACAGAAGAGAATACCAGATAGGAAGAACTTTTTTTTCCCTACCAAGTTTTTTTTCTTTGGATTCCACAATAATAGGTAGTTAGTCACTAAAAGTAATAGTAATAATAATCAGTGTAAAGTGTGGACTCTGCTGTATTGCTGGTTTTTTTTTTTTTTTTTTCCCTACTATTGTCGGCTTTTCCTCCACGTCCCTCATCCAATTTATTTTGATTTTTCATTTTTTTTTTTATTATTTACTATTATTTTCTCGTTTCTCACACTGTGTGCATTATTATTCTTTTCCTCTTTCTCTCTCCTCCCTCTTTTCCTTTCCTAGTTCCCCCTCCTCCTCCTACTACTCTTCTTTCCCCTCCTCTCTTTTCCCCCTCCCTCTCAACATCCTCGACATCATCCTCTTCCCTTTTATTTCTTTCCGTCTTCACCTTCCCATCCCCCCAAGTCTGCCCTGTTGTTGGTGTTTGTGTTGTTGTAGTGAGAGTTCTGCTCATTCTTCACTGCGCCGCTGCCAGACTTCCCCTTCCCACGTCCTGTAACTTTTTTTTTGCCGCGACCCTTTTTTCTTTCTTTCTTTCTCTTTTCTCTGTCTCTCTTCTCCTTCATTGGAAAGGTGAATCGATCAGTTGATCTACCTGAAATTGATTTTTCTCCGCACGAGTTCTTCCCAGAACTTCCTGGCGCATCTCTCGACTCTTTTTCTCTCTACCTAAGGTAGCCCTTGCCTTCCTACCAGGGAACTTCGGTACATCAGCCTCTGTCTCCCTCCGGTTTCCTTGTGGTCGTTGCCACGTGAAAGTCGCGCATCTCAACATTTCCCAAGGGGCTTCAGAATCTCCTTACAACTTCCAGCGTGCTCCGTGCCTACTTCAGGTAGACCTATACGGTAATTGGATCCTCCGACGGACCGACAGCCGAACAGAGGGTGAGTTCTAGGTCAGATTTTGCAACTCCCACCCTACCTGCCAACAAGGCTCCGTGCATCTTTTGTGGGATTCTCGGACAGCCTACCTTCTCCATCAAAGCGGTATCACGCAGGAACCCTTTCAACCGCCGATTCCCTCCGTGCACCTTTCCCTTCGATCACCGCCCAGACCGATCTCGCGGCAACCGGTAAAATTTTTTTTTGTGGCCGTTGTACAGATGCGATCTGAGTGAGAGTTCACTATATCTAGGTTAAAGGATATTCGGGCATACAGATTGCTTCTTTCGCAACAGTCTCATCCTCGTGTCAGATTTGACCGGCTCAACACACCTCCCTCCAGACTTAATATCTGAGAAGGGTGAATATCAGCAACGGGAAGCTGCAGTTCGGCGGGGTTCTTGAGGGTGGAAGTTGATTCTCCTGATTTCGATCGGTGTTGGAACAGCTCACAAAAGTCCTTCTGTTTGTGATTGCCTAGGGTGGCACCAGTTCTCTGGCAGAACAACTTTTTTTCTTTCTTAAAATATCTACGACGGATATATTAGATCTCCCATATCTCTCTTCATACCCTCCAAAAATGGCAGCCGCCTTTTCCTATGCCCAGGCAGCAAAGGGCATCGCTACCACGCAACCCTCCAAGACCGCAGAGTTGAGCACGACAGCTTCAAAGCCAGACGAGCAGACCTCCACCCCAGAAGTTAGCACAGATGCTCCAGCTTCTAAGCCTGATGCACCCAATGATGTCGAGAACGTCACCGTCAATGGAGAAGATGAATTTCCCATCGACTCCAAAGCAGACCTTTCCGGAACCTCCACCCCGAATGCTGCTACCGCGCAAACATCTACATCATCTAAGGATGAAGAAGGCTTGAATACACCAAATGGCACTTCGGAGGCCGCTTGGGATAAGCAGTCGCAGGCTTCAGGGTCTGACAAACCCGATGCTACTACAGATGGTGCTAAGGAGAAGAGCTCTGAAAAGGAGAAGCCTGCACCCCCGAAACCATTGAAGGCGGCCCCTTTGCCAGCTGTCAACATCTGGCAGCAAAGGATGGAGGCCCACGAAGCCAAGGCCAAGGCAGTGGCTGCTCTGAAGCCCACTGCTCCTAAGAATTCCAAGCCTACTTCTGATGCTTCGTCTATCTCCGGAGAAAGCCAGGATCAGTCGAAAGCCAGCTCCAAGAAGAAGGGCGGCGATGCGGCCGATGGAGGCAAGGACAGGAAGAAGGCCGATGGCACCAAAGGACGCGAAGAAGGGGCCACTACTGTTCCTCCCGTAGGCGATGCTGCCTTATGGCCTACTCCCCATGTTGCCCAAGGAGAGGAGAAGAAGAAGGTCCAGGATAAACCCGACAAGGGTCCGATCATTCGGACCAATGGTAAAGAGAAGTGGATGCCCGTCCCATATGTTCCTACTGCCGTTTTCAACACCCCCCTGCCATCTGCTGCCCGTAGAGGTGGAAGAAGCGCTCGTGGTGGGCGGGAAAATGCTCGCAATGGTACCCACGGTGGTGCCGGTGGTGCTACTGCCGAGAAGGCCGCACCTGCCCAAGCAGCCCAAGGTTCCGCAGCCAAGCAGACTGCATCTGGAGATCGGGGAAGGAATGAGCCAAACTCTGCTCGCGCGAACTCACTCCCAGCACCATCTCGCCGATCAAATAGCGCCGACAATGGAACGACGGACGCACGTAAGCAACCCGCAACTGACCGAATCCGTGGTCCCAAAGGAGCGGACAATTCGAACGCTGCGGTCGCTTCTAAGAACGTTAACGGTGGAGAATCATTCCCTCGACATGCCAAACCGTTCCCTAGAAACCACGATGGCGCCCAGAAGGGAGGCGATCATAACCCCAAGAATCTATCGGTGGATCCAAATGCTGTTGCACGCTCTGCATCAAATAATGAACGTCGCTTTGAAAATGGCCCCAAGTCTGCAGATTTCACCGGGGCACATGCTGATCGCAAGGACAAGGAGTTCTCTCGCGAGTCACGTGCAGATCGAGGCAGAGGCTCGCACCGCGGCCGCGGTGGTGGCCATGCCGCCTACAATGGTGCTCAGATGCCTCACTTCCCTAACAACCATATGACCCACCACAATTTCTCGCACCACAAATCTTTCGGCTTCAACGACCGTCAACGGTCGCAGCAACCTGGAATGACCAACGGCTCGCGCGGTCACGCGATGACGATGAGATCTCCTTCTCTGCCCAACTCAAATACTATGTACGGTGTTTACCCCTTTCCTGCGGATATCAACACCATGTATAGTTATCAGCCAATGCAAGCTGGTCCCATGTCTGCAGTTCCTTATCAACAATATATGGAACCATTCTCCGTCATGAGTATGATTTCAATGCAGCTGTAAGTTATTTCCCCCGCCCCGCTTTCCCCCCCACAATTACAGGCTAGCTTTAAAATCGTAATAATAATTGACACAAAATAGTGAGTACTACTTCTCGGTTGATAATCTGTGCAAGGATCTTTACCTCCGCAAACACATGGACTCTCAAGGATTCGTTTCATTGAATGTGATCGCTAGCTTCAAGCGAATTAAGTCTCTCACCGAAGACTTCGAGATGATCCGTCATGTTTCCCGACAACTGAGAAACGTTGAGTACTTTACTGGTGAGGACGGCATCGACAGGCTACGACCCAGAGAAAAGTGGGAGCAGTGGGTTCTTCCTTTGGACCAGCGCGACGCTTCTGCTCAGCATCATGGCCCAACTTCTGGAAATCAGAACGAAGCCTCTAACCAGCAAAATCATGTTGAGGGAGCGACAAATGGCTATGCCCCAAAGGCTTTGCATTCGTTGCCCAATGGAACTAGCGAGCCTCGTACCTCCAAGACCCCGTTGTCCTCTGCCGCTCCCGAGTTTTCGCCTTCCAATGGTATCAACAATGGAAGCGAAATTTCGAATGTGAGGATTCCCTTCTTACTTCCGTTGAGATCCCAGCGTATTGATATCTTGAAGTAGCGCGCAGATTAGGTAAATGATGACCTAAACGACCAATTCACCTTCGAAACGTGAATCATACGGAATTTAGTGTCAAAAGACCTTGTTTTTCCAACAAGTTTAGCGGCTTATCTAGGGGCATTCGGGATGAAGGAAATGAGGAGCTTCCGAACCCATCGCCTGCTAATTTATGTGAACGAACTGATAATATTTCGAAAACGAGTCCTCGACGAAGTGACTTTACGGCAAATCTTCACGGTGATCGAGATATGGATCTCCACCCCAATCTGACCCCGATTTTTTTTTGATCCACAATTTCAATGCACAAATGTACAATGAATTTAAGAGTCTAGCGTTTTATGACCCCTGCACGAAACATCGGAAACGGTTTCAACAGAATTTTCACTTTTACGGTTCTTTTTGGTTGAGCAACACGGTCTCTGCCTACCGAGGTTATTCGGAACCGGCTGAAAAAGATTGACCGTATTCTGAATGGTCGAAAACCAGGCTGCAAAAGTGATTTTTTTTTTCCTTTATTGTTTTCTTCCATTTACCATTTATGTTCCTTTCGTGGCTTATCCATCATGACTTCACTTGCATTACCTTCTGTCAGCTTTTGCATTTAACTCGCTGTCAAGTTGCCAGTGACATTTATTCTCTGCGAAATCGCTTGTCATGTGCACATTCAGAGTATCGGCTTGTTCTTTCCACTTCTTACTCTTCTTCTCTTGTGCTTCCCTTGTTTTGTTTTATTCACTGGGGGGTCTGAAAAATTTCCTGGAGTCCGGGCATGTTTTACTGGGCCAGTATTCAAGTTTGATGCTTGCCTGTTTCTCTGGGTGTGCCGGGTTGAAGTTCGTTCCCCGGGCCATAGAATACTCATCCGATTTCTTTCTTCATCTTCTTTACCTTTTTTTTCCGTCTTTTTCTTTCCCTTTTCCTTTTTTTTTTTTTTTAATACTGCGGTAATACCTACGCTCTATTTCCCCCGAATCTAGTACGAATCGAAGACGCAGCCAACAAAAGGATAAAATTCTTTTTTTCTTTCTTTCCACAGCGCGGCGCAAATGAGTTCAAAAAAAAGAGAGAAAATGAAACTTGGCATTGATTGCTTATCTAGGAGCTCATCTCATTATCCCAGGTGACTGGTGTTATCTCATATTCAGGGCTTTCGAGGAGGAGCTCAGCGGCCTCTCTACCATTTTATTATTATCTCGGACATCTTCTGCAAATGTGGTTTGGAGTGGTGCATTTTCTTCCATTCTTCCGGCGTGAAGTGGGTTTTCTTTTTTTTTTTTTTTTTTTTAAACCATCTCAGGAGTCAGTAAAGCGACATCCAAATCATTATGGATATTCTCTACTTGCGGGAAACGATTTCACCTCCGTTTAGTTCAGTAATTTGGGTAGAGAAAAGCGAGGATTTTCGCACACATATTTCTAAAACAGATAATAGTTCAGCACCGGATGGAATCAAATTCACACTACTCTGTACTTCCATTTTGCTGTTTTGGATTTTAATTCGAGCCCAATATTACAACAATTCTTCAGATTCCATTCATAAAGACAAGACGGTTTATTCCTTCCTTGTACTCCGTACTTTTGGGCGTTCTGATTTGTATGTAGGGTGGGATTTTCAAAAGCTGTGATTATCAAGAGAGTCAGATTTGACGTGCAGCATCGCATGCATGACGGGAAGGGGAGGACTTCACAATACAGAGTATCCCTCCCTCCTCCTTGACAAACGCTGTCCAGCGCGAGTCGCTTAAACGGAGGACATCCCCTGGCCCTAGCTCGAGCGTGAACTGTGCATATCATATCTCGTATTTCCCTAGGGGGCGGTCAGGTCAGATGTTCCATTCCATTCTTCATTATATAGGTAGGTAGGTACCACTTTCGAGTCTTCAAGGTTGATGTCGCACTGTTGGGCAGAGAATAAGGACGCGTCAACTTTCAAGAGGTTTTCTGGACTCTGGAGATGCTTTGGGGAGCTCAAGCAAAAGCGTTTACCATTTGTGGGTCTTCCCCCGCGTTCCCCGTTCTGGCCCACTGGTTTGGTGATCGCCTGCATTTCTCGAGATACAAAGTTATCCAATGATGAGAGGTCGTCAAATGATGACAGTAGAAAGTTGACCGAAATGGATTCAATTGGTCTAACTAGGAAATAGAGAGAAGGAGATGCTTGGAGGAAGCATGGAGATCTGGAAGGAAATGGTGGCCTAAATACATAGAGTAGTCACGTGTCGCTATCTTCTTCTTTATGGTAATGCTGTTTTATGGTGGTGCTGGTTGCATTCACTGAGTGCAGCACTCTAACACACCCCCCTTAGCAACACATCCATTACATGAAGCTATTCAGAGTCTATCTCTAACCTACTAAAACCCAATCTCTTGATAAATTTATCAAATTTCATAGTTGGTAGTACCTTAGTTAGCCTGTTAGTAATATTGTCCTCTCTACTAATTATTTGCAGCTAAATTCTGCTATTTTTGATTACCTCTTTTATAAAGAAGTAATAAATGTTTATCTAATAAAGTATAGATATGTAATTTAGTTTCTTTACTAAAGTAATAGTATTTGTAGAATTAGTATATAAAGATATAGTATCTTTTATAGACTTTTCTAGTCTAATAATTATATATAGCTTTTGTAGCTATATAGCTAGCTTTATTACTATATCCTATGTAATAAATTTAGCAATAATTAAACTTAGGGTAACTAGTAATTACTTTACTAATCTCTATATAATTAGTGCTCTAAATATAAAAAATATAAAGCTTTTTATTAACTTCTTGTCTTTATAATCTGCATGGGAGGTGTTAATATATATATATAATAGATTATCTAAATAATCTAAGACTATTATATAGTCTGAGGTTTTCTTTAAATATTAGAAAACTTATTTAATTATATTATAATCTAACTTAGTAGGATTATGATTTCTTTATAGTAGTTATATTATTGTATATTAAATATCTGGTTAGGTCTGAATAGTAATCTAATTTAATAATCTAGTTAGCTCCTAGTAGTGGGTAATATTATCTTTATCTATAGAGGTATATATGGTATCTAGAATAATATTACTAGTATCTAGTGTCTCTCTAGTTAATTTCTATTCTAGAGTTATTAGTATATGACATGGCTAAAGACTATAGAAATTCTATTTATGGAGTATCTTTTGGATATATATATATTAAGATATTAATATTAGACTACTAAGTAGTTTATAAATATTATATTCCAAGAATTATATAGGCTTACCTAATTACTTTAATTTAAAATATCTTTCTAGCTTATCTATAAATTATTGAATATTTACTTTATTAGGGCCAGTAACTATTATATTATTAATATAGATAATAAGTATTAGCTACTAATCTAGGTTATAGTAGAAATATAGGTCTTTATTAATTACTTTTATGCTAATTTTTACCAGAATATTATAAAATTTCTTGTACTAAAGAAATGCTAACTATTATAATCTATATAGGGCTTGGAGTAGTAGATATACTATACTATCTTACTTATTAAAACTAGTTAGTTAGTATATATAGATCTTTCAATCCTTAATTATTATATTAAAATAGGTAGTTACCATATTAAATTATGCCTATTTTAAATTAAAACAAGTAACTATGTTTAAAAATAGCTTTACTAAAGTATTTACTACTACTAGGGAGTAGACTTAATTAAAGTCTATACCTAGTTTTTAGAAATTTCTATATACAACCTATCTTATATAAAATTATAATATATTATTATCTATATCTAACTTCAAGTTATATACCTATTTTCTTAGTAAGACCTTTATATTCTTTAGTAATAATATAAATTTATAAGTCTAAATAGCTTTAAACTTACTAATTTAACTTTATATTATTTATATCTAGTAATTCTTTTATAATAATTTTATTACTTAGATATAGATCTATAGAATTCTAACTTTATAAATCTTTATAAGCTTGATCTCTAGTGTAAAACTACTAGAATCTAGTAATATTATAATAATTATATTAGGTGATTTTCCTAGCTTTAGATAGGATTCTGGTAGATAAGGTGTTTCTAGAAGTATTTTTAGAGGTGATATAGACTAGGATTAAGATTATTATTTCTATTTTATTTCTTCTTTCTATAATTACTTTGCCTGCTTATCTTTAAAGTAAATACTTTAGTATTAATTCTTTATAGATCTTAAAGATCTTTATAGAGTAGTAATACTACTACTAGTATTATTATTAGCAGGATTTTATATTTTTACTAGGTTAACTATTTCTATATTCCTAATATTAAATTTAACCTGCTTTCTAGTCTTTAAATACTTCCTTTTTAGTATATCTAGAGTTATTAGAGTATAGTTATCTTTAGAAGGTTCTAAAACTAGTAAGACCTCCCTATATTAGGTAAATAACTCTAGAAGTCTTTATATTAATTATAATACTAGTATCCTTTTAAAAATAGGTTGACTAGTATATAAATTATTTATAGTAAAATAGTTAATTATCCCTTTATATCTACCCTACCTAGATTATTCCTCTATACTAGGTCTTACTATTTCCTCCATATCCTTGCTAATTACTTAATTGTTTTACTTAGCAATGGTTTCGGAAACAGCCCCAGAGGCAGGCCCAGAGGCAGGTAGCCGCTCAGGTATGATGAGTTCAATACCTGCCTCTAGGTTGGGTAGGGTGGTTTTAGAGACAGCCCCAGAGATAGGTAGGTATAGATATATCAAGTCAGCACCTGCCTCTGGATTAGATAGGCTTGGTTTAGGTAGGGCTAGATCAGGTATTAATATTTAAATTCTTCCTGTAATAACTTTGTTATTAATTACTAATAATAAGATTTGGGGGATAGTATTACTTTAAAATACTTTATTATAGGTTATTCTTTCCCTTTTAGTATTAACAGGCGTAGTTGCTCTAGATAGATTATTATTATTTAGTTTTAGTCTATTAGGAAGTTATAGTTATATTCTATCTATTCTATTAGTATTATCTTTATCAAATATTATATTCCTTGACTG